GTCTAATTACCCAGCTGTGTTTGCTTCACTTCATCTTACTTGTGATTAGACACTGCTAGACGTGGTTTAATAAAGATTTTACACCTTGGGTGAATGCAGTCATCACAACTCATCTAACTGAAAATTTTTATTTCATCTCAAAAGATATCTTCAGTGTCCTTTACAAGATCATTTGAAACAAAAATAAATAATTGAGTCAATAAAATCGGAAATAACGAGCAATATTTGTTGAACAGTTTTGAAAAGTCTTTTACAACAATGTTGACAACGAATCAGGAAAATTAGCAAATATCCTATAATATTTATTTATATCAAATGGCAGGCGTTTTGATAGTTATCATTAGGCCTTTAGTTGACTTCAGGCTTCATAGAGGGGAGGAACATCAAAGTGAAATAAAGTCGAGAATGGGGGGGGGGGAGGAACAGAAGAGTGTTTCAAAGATGTAGAAGAGACAGGCACAAAGTTAGACAAAAAGGTAAAATGAATACTGTGAAAGTGGCCGAATATGACATACAGTGGGGTGATGGTAGTTTGGAATCTGAAGTCAACTGCCGGCTAATAGACTTTTTTACCGTATGAGTATACGTTGCCCAGGGTGCACCACGAGGAGGTAAGTCTACCGCACACCCCATCCTATAATATAAATGTTCAAAACTCCATTGAAGTAAGCCACTTTAATGCTTAGTGGTTCTCCACTTTATCTTCACTGAAATTCCTCTTGCGCGATATTAGCTTCTTTGCATAATTATGAATGGTGGATAAAAACACATTACTTTTGGATATTGGTAGAAATGATTCTGCGTGTATTTGTATGGTGAAATGGGTTTAGTTCCTGAATTTGTGAGTGCAACCGTCAATCAAAGAATAATAAATATCGTTAATGATTTTGTGGTTCTTATTTTAGATAAAATGAAAAAACAGAACTCAGTTAACGGGAATTTTTCGATTAATATAACCATAGTTTCATTTTCGTTATCCACTTTGACTATTACATCATATCAAACTTGCGGTAATTAGCGAATTCTTGGACAAAATTCTCTTCACTTACTCAAGACAATGTAAAATTCAAATTGCCAATTAATCATCTAAAAATGATAAAGCAATGAAGTGAAATTCATTTCGCTTAAGTTTTTATTTCCAAGTATCTCCAATTTCAGACTGGTAGATTAGCTTCATTAGCCAATTTGGTTGTACTGTTTTTGTAAAATCTAAAAATCGCACTAATATCATGCAATTTCATTGAAATTTCGACTGAGTAACTAATTGTCAATGCCAAATAAAAATGTGAAATAAATATATTTGGGATTTTCATGCCTTTACGTTTGTGATGTTACCCGTTCTACACTTTCGAATATTTAGTTTTTCTTCATTAGTGTTTTGGCAATTGAATATATATATATATATATATATATATATATATATATATATTCCGTTATATATATATATATATATATATATATATATATATATATCGGAATAAAGAGTTTACTAAGAAATATAGATTCAGGTAGTCGGAGAGTAGAAGATAATGAAACTGAGTCGGTAATTAGGTGCCTATAGGTTCAATACAATTATCCGATATTAGTTTTGTGGCTGAATAAGATTTTTAAAGAATTTTTGAAACAAATATGCTCCCACTCTTAGTCATTAGTAAAGTAGCCGTTCTCATACTATGAACAATCGGTCAGTGTATGGATATTCGTGAACACGACCTGTTTGTCCCACGGCTTGTTGAAGGTATATTAAGGTGAAAGGGGTGGCACGTGGGCAGAAGAAGGGAGGAGAAGAGGAGAGACGGAGGCTGACAGGCTCCCTGAAGACACAACGAGGAGCACAGGTTGGCTGGCGCTGCTCCTGCTGCTGCTAATCGCATGTGGGAGGGGGGAGGGGGGGGGGATAACATGCTTAGTGCGTTCATGTGTCTCCTGTCCTCCTTCTACTCTCATGTGCACGAGTAGAGGTGCGTGCGGACATGAGCTCTTCGCGTCTTTGGCCTGTGCGTCGCTGTCGGTGACTTAGGTGTTGCTCCTACGAGTTGCCATAAAATGGTGCCTGATACTGACGAGATGTTGTGAAGCGCAGAAGAGGCATGTTGGGGGGGAAGCACTTTTGAATAATTTAGATGTGGTGTGTTTGGTAAGTTTTTGCATGTACTTTTTAATTTAATTTTGACATTTTTTCCACGGTGTAGTTATTTAGATTTGATATGAGATTAATTAAGAGCCTTTTCCTATTTGAGAAAGAAGAAAAAGCGCTTTCAACTCAGTCTTCCATTTTTCGTAATTTCTGTTTGGAATTGGTTAGGTTGAAAATCACAACTTTGCATTGGGTTTATAACAATTTACAATTGCATATTTATTCAAATAAATAAAGTGGAATATAGGTCATAATAGAAAAACTCGCCTAAAAGTAATTTTATTAGATTTGAACTAGAATAGATTGAAATTTATTGTTTTTTTATTAAGGGCGTCTAGGAAATGTTTTTTAAATAATGCGATTCATTTTAATGAGAACGCAACTTATTCTGTCAGCAACTGAATTTTCATCGGATTTCAATGCCTCCAAGTTGTAAGTTACCGCCTTCTAGAGAGTTCTTTTAGGGAAATATTTGTGTAGGACATAGTCTGTGAATGACTACTTTTATGTATCGCCCCCCTATGCCATATGTTGCATGTTCAGTTGTGACACACAGTAGAGAACAATGCGATAATTAGATTTATTTGTTCTTCCTTGGCGTTCGCAGCAATGTGTACACAACAATCACCATAACCGTTATGAATTCATGTTATATTTAGCGAATTTATGAAAAGATTTTTCACTCCATTAATTATCCCAAAACATTACTCATGGGAATCTCAATTTGTTTAGCAACTAATTAACTTACGTTTATAAATTATTAAGCCATCCTTTTAGACTTTTAATTGGACTTTGATTAACAGGAGGGTTTTGCTAACTTATTGAACCCCCCCCCCCCTCCTCCCCAACACACTCTATTATTTTGACCTTGAAAAGACTTCCACTTAAGCCAATCAAGGGAACACTTTCAAACTAGACAACAGCACAATTTTGAAGTAGGTTAGTTGACTGCTCATTATGACTAAAAGCTGTGATCAATCTTTCTTCATCTTACTTATAGTTCCTTCAGTGTCTTTGATGTTTGAACATTCGGCTGCAGCAGCAGCAGCTGTCGTGAGTATACATATATTCATTCAATGTTTTGGCAACATTAAAAAATGTTTATTTAGCGTTGATATGCTCCACCTGATGTCGTAATTGCTTACGAGACGTGCAGTCCAGACGCAAATGGTCATTTGATGCCACTTCTCAGATTGCATAGTCTCATAAGTGCCATCGACTCAGTTGATCGTCGCTATATATAATAATGCTTAGTATTTCTGTTACGTTATTTATTTATATTTAAAATGTCAGCCTTTTTGATAGTTATCATCAGCCTTTCTTAGTTGACTTCTGGCTTCACAAACACAGTCAAAGTGATTCAAAGACACAGAGGCAGAGGAAAGGTAAGGTAAGGTGAGTACTGTGGAAGTGGTGGAATATGACATACAGTGGAGCCATGGTAGTTTGAAGTCAACTGTATGAGTATATGTCGCTCAGGGTACACCCCGTGGAGGTAAGTCATTCGCTCACCCCTTGTTACGTTATAATTGGAACTATTTAGTACCTTTCTAGTATATTTTTTGGATTTTATATAACATCACTTGATTAACTCGCTATCTTTGGGGACAAAATCTCTTAAGTGACATGGAGGGCAATTGGATAGAATTCAAATCTCCCATCTATATCACTAACCCTTATGCCAATTTCTATTAGGAATATTACTAACTAATTAAATCACTTCATAACAAATTGTTAGATGCTTTTCTAAATTTATTAGGCTTTTAAGGTGAACTCATAGCAAATTTAAAGATAAGGCAGTCTAGTCCACAGATTCTCTTGCCTTCTCTAAAATGCCCATTTTCAACGCTTTCTTACTACCACACCTACCATTGTACACTATATGGATTTAAGAGCAAAAAAACTGATTAACTGTGTACTTTTACCTTAATTATTAAATATCGAAGTTTAGATGATAAATATGTTTTTTAAGAAATTGAAGACGCTTCTCACATCCTAAATTAACTACCACTTTAGAAGGAATTAAGAAAGACTTCAGTCTAAGGTGATCTCTGATATTGACAAATTTTGAAAATAAAAATTCATCGCCATAAGTTTTCTTTTAGTTATTTTTTATTATGCTCAAAATATATATCGTTTATATGTTGGATTTCTGCCCCATGAGATTTATAAATTCGTTTTTTTCAACGAACCTCTCAGTAACCAATAGAAATTGCGGTCGAATGTAGTTTTAAGGCGCCACTAGTTGAGAATAATTTGTGTAGTTAACAAAAAATGAAATGAGTTCATTTACAAACTTAAATTTAAAAATAAGTCAAATTTAATAAATATTTCTACGAGTGATAAATAACCAACGTTTAAGCAGGAGTTATAGAAGGTGAGTTATTGTGCATGAATAGTTCAAAATATCAGAATAACTACATCAATTCAACGGCTCCTGACGACCTATGAAGGAGATATTTGGTGAAAATCAATTTTTTGGAACTGAAGATTCCTCCCAACTTTTGTTATGCTTTGCCGAATTTGCTAACCTTTTTACTGCCTCGTTACTTTCTTGTATTTTCGATTTGTTCCAATTAAGAACACTGGGAAAAATTCAAAAGAAAAGCACTTCTCTTTATATGCTAATATTTATTTTACTACCGTTTTGTTTCGTGGTAAGCAAATTTAATTGAGTAATATTGCGTCATTGAATATCAACAGTATACATTAATATTATTATGAAATATGACAATAGCCCACCCCCACCCCACCTGGGACTTTATTAACAGCGAATTGTGAAGATGACGTCAAACTCTTTTCGTGTAATTATTTTTTTAAGAACTGGTTCCATCTCCTTCAACAGGATTTCTGTCTTAATATCCTTTTTTGAAATAGTTATTAAATTAGATTATTGTACTATAAATTGAATGCTCTCATTATGCCTTTTAACTACTATTCATCCTATTGAACCTTTAATTAAATCTGAAATCTCTAATTTTTAATGTAATTGGAAGACAAAAAATTGGAATTTGTTTAATACCAAATGTTAAATAGGCTAAGGCAAAAGCTTTTTATTTACAGGACTATTTTACTTACAGGGTAATTTCTCTCTAATAACGAAATTCGAAGAAATTATGTTATGGCTAAATGCTTTAATTTGATTTTAGGGGATATCTAATAATAAGATATTATAACCTTTTCTGCGGTGTTAAATTGGATGTATAGTAATATATATATATATATATATATATATATATATATA